GAATCATTTTTCTTATTTTAAATATAAATTACTAACTTAGACTCGCTGTACTAATGTATTTTAATTCGCAAAACTTGGTGATTACCTTGTGCACTTAATACTAACCCTCTATTCTTTTTTAAAATTATTTTTCTCTTGTCTATCCAATTCTGTAGGGAGACAGAATACATTCCTAAGCTTTACAATGCGCTAGATGCTAACTCTCAGAGTAACCATAGCCTCGATTCCTCCAGCCAGTCACAGCAAATAGAAAATACTTCTTTGCCATCAATGCAAGCTACAACTACACCCATGGGTAGACTGTCGCTGTCATCGTCATCCGTCTCTCCTTGTCTTGTCGATTATGAGCCTGAGGATTCCCAGTCACAATTATCACGGCTTCTTCTGCACAAGCCTCCGGAGCCGGCTCCTCGAGTGGTCATGGCTCCGATATCACCACCATCATCTTCCGAAGCTAGCCCACTTGCCTGTCCTGCTGAGACGTCACTTGCTTTACCTATCATGAGTGCTAACATTAGCATAATCTGTTGCCAAGAAACTGTATCCTCTCATGAGGATATTAGGGCAAATATTTCCAACTTACCCAGTGGGCCTCACTTAAATAGCAACACTATTGATGGGCTAAAGATTGTCTCATCAAACGGCAGTATTCCTACTGAGATGTCAAATTTTCCTTGTATAGAAGGCAGCTCTGAAGCTCCCGTGTTGCCATGCTCTCTATCAGCCCAATCAGAATGTGTTCAGCTTCCCGAATACCAACTTGCGCAGCCCCCATCCTCCTTGCCGGACAGCTGCATTTCTTATGACGAGCAAGTGACACTTGTATCTGATGTCGATCATCATATCAGCAATTCATCCCCACCTATAGTATTTGGCAGTCCCAGAGGCAGGATCAGAAGGCCGGTCACGATTCCTAGTGGATCAGATCAGTAAGACTTGCCATTATTTCTTCGCTCTTCGGGTCTATTTAGTTTCGCAAGCTCTAGGCTTGCGATAACTCGTATTAGGTCTAACAATGGATACCAAACATTTTATAGTATTAGCACCTGGATTCAAATATATGGGTTGGAAGCTTTCCAGAAAATCTTCTGAATGTGCTGTGCTTGTGTCGTGGAGATAAGTAGTAAACTAATCTCCTCCTAGCCTATCATACCATCAATGCATGAGCGCACTAATATGAGAAAAATCTTAATCGAGCCCGATCGAGGCTAAGCTTAAACTTCAGCTTAGATAAATTTCCCGTTGGGCTTAGCGTGCGAAAAAACAAAAATTTAAATAAATAAATATATATATATATACATATATACATCTTATCTACCTGAATTCCACTGGAGAATCTTCGTCTATTTCTTAAGCTATTTCTCATTCCTTCTGCGTAACTTAATAGTTCGTTTTTTAAAATTATATATGCCTATTTTTTTTCTTATGTGGATTTATTGTTTGCTTCTTAATTTTTTAATCTTTGTCAATCCTACATCTAGCCCTCCTTTATCTGTTTCTTTTTTTAGATGCCCAAATCAAAACATAAATAAGGTATGCTTTTCACTGGATTTTTATATTTGCGCTACTAACCTTCCGATCCACTATTCGAAGACTCATTTTTTACTGATTCAGACTTGTAACTTTCACTTCCTGATTTTTTTTACAGAGCTTTACATATGTTCGAGTTCCATATAATCATATATCTATATGAATTTGGTTAATATTTTGCCAATGTAAAAATAGTGCTTCATATATATGTCAAGAAATATTGATGAGTGCTATTTCTGAGTCGATGTTTCTGTAATTAAAACCTAATAATATAATTATAATTGATCACCATTTGATGATGCTGATTATTATCGCGTTATTATTCTATATTTAAAACGCTGTTTTTCATATTACCTTCTTGCAGGCAAAAATATTCAGGTGATAATTAAATCAATTTAGTATTTATGGCTGTCTTAAATTTGTTCAGTTATATCAATAAACTTTGTTTTTCGTT